TTTGGTTATTACATTGGGTGGGCTAAATTATAAAACAGTTGTGTCCAAAGGCGGGAAATTCCTGAGAATACCCGTGGTCACGCCCTCGGGACTACCTAAATCTTTGTTGGGATGCAAGTTTGTTTAGGCTGGTAGGTGTGACCGGGGACTTTGTGCGAAATTGGTGAGCACCCTCACACCGTACCTTTTGTATCACTTCCTTCCGCTCCTCCAGGAGCGTTTAGGACAAATTTTTACCCCAAAAAATGTCGTATGAGTGCAAAGGGCCAGGGATTGCCGGCCGTTTACCCTGTTTGTTGGGATTGATTTCCCGATACAGCTCCCCCCACGTCTTTTACTACGGATTGACTGGGTGTCTGGACGAGTGGTCAGCACACGACCGGGTCTCGTTTCGGTGGCTCTTTACTTCGGTCCTCCAGGTCTGTACAGGTTCTTTCTTTATTTCTTGCGGAATATTTTCCCCCGGATTTCGTCATTCTGGTTCTGCCCGGCGGTTAGGCGTTTAATTACAAAAAGGAAGGTGGTTTTTGGAGTGCAGGGCGGTTTTATATAAGCACAGGCGGAGCCCTCTACCTAGGGGCCCCGTCTTTCCTATGCCGCTCGCTAAAGAGGGTGTAGGATAACAGGATCAGGAGGCGTGGCTGCCTTATATACTGTGTGCCTGTGCGCGCATTCAGGTAGGCTCGCCCTGATTGGCCGGCTACGTTTATGCAACTCAGTATGTGAATGCTCGCATAGCATGGTTAAGGGTAGTACCCATAGAGTCCAGTAGAGGGCTCCGCCTTTGCTTATATAACCAGGGTTACAATATGTAACCCACCGTTTTAAGGCTTCAACCAACTTGGCAACCAAGGGACTCAATCGTGTGTTTCAAAGATTTCAGTCTAAACTAAAGCTAAGAAGAAAATAAGTATGTTCAGTTTTATGTTTCCTAGCCTTGCTTTAACCTGTTACCTGAGATGAGATAAAACACACAACTCTGGTATAATGACTTTGTATCATTTGTTTAAAGACCTTGAAAGCAAATGACACACATACAGTAAGGCTTTGATAATAAGGGATATCATATTTTAAGTTCATGAAGATTATTCTACATTATACATGAATGACTTTTGTTAATATATTTGGATATAATCCTTTCACAAGATTGAAAAACAACAAGGAAACAAGTCTTAAAAGTGATCTTCAGTTATTGACATTATAAAATGTAAGTTTAAAATCAAGATCAATTAAAAATTCTTCAATATAATTTTTGCTCCATTTCTTTGTTTTTAAACCATCTTCAAAGATCTTGGAAAGACACTTGTTTGTTTGATTTGATCCCTGCTTTATTTATTTATTTTTTGCTGAATGCCTTCAGTTTATCCCATAGGTAAACCCCCACAGCTCTGTGGTTTCGAGGTGATGTGCCTGAGGAAGACGGGAGGAAAGAGAACAGTGAGGATGTGATGAGACATGCTGTTTAATTAACCTCACTTATGAACTTTCATCAGCAGAGCAGCTGTGTGCTGCTGGAAGGAACAAAGTGTTTCCCAGATGTCTTTCAGTGCACGTGTGTGAGTGTCAGTTTAGTTTTCCTTGAGTCACACAATAAGTGCAAAAATAATTATGGCAATTTTATAATTATACAGAAGTGATTGTGATTTATTAACGAGGTTGATCCTGAACCGTCTCCACTCAGCGGGGATAAGTGAGGTGAGGAAGTGCTCTGACCTTCTGTGCTCCTTCATTTCAGATGTTTTGACTTCATTGGGGTTCCCTGTGATATTACAAAGGCATAACTCAGGGATGATTACCTGATACACTGGTTAGGAAAATGTTAATATTGTGTTTAAGAGCAAATGTTCAGGTTCTTATTCGTATTCTGTGCCTCCACTGTGATGTGTTTCCATGCTTTAATGTTCAAAAAGCTCCTCTTTTCACCCTCTGTCTGAAACCAGAGCCCAGTCTGCTCTGGTCGGAAGCACGAGGTTTACACAGTGATGTCACTATGTTACCGAAGTAAACAAAGGAGTCCAATAGAAGCATTTCAGGCAGGTAGGGTGTGTGTGGGAGAGAAACTCCCTCTGGGGGGAACACAGGAATGTTAGCGTTCGCATACCATTTACATCAGGGGGCCACATAATTTATGTACTGGCCACCAGGGGGCCGCAGATTCACTTGGAACACACACATTCCATGTATTGTATGTAATTATTAACAAATATAAGTCTGACATCTTCATTGACATTTTGCAATCTTTCAGGGAACATCCTCTAATAAGCTCACTAAACAAATATCAGTTCACAGAAATGTTATTTAATTGTTACAAGTGGCATACTTGTATTGAACAGGTTATTTAACAGTGGAATAAAACTATGTTATACTATTGGAAAGCACGGAAAATGTGTGTGCATTGAGATTAACAGGTTAAACATTAAGATGACATAAACATGAAGTCATGAACACTAACCCAGACATTAGTTGTCTAACTTGAACCTAAGACACTTGTAGCCTGTCTCTGCTGACGCACAATAAGGGGAGTGTCAACACAGACAACTGTCAACCCGCACTCTGCTGTTCCTCAGCGCCTATACAGTAAAGGGAAAAACCCAAAAATCACAATAGGGCCTCTTTAATTAACAGGACAGTTCATAAACATTAGGAAAATTGTCTGAAAATTGCAATAGGCTAAGGGGTGGGACATCTCTAAGCTGTTGACCAATCACAACAGATCCAGCCAGCTAACCAATCTGGGCTCTGGTTTCAGACAGAGGGTGAAAAGAGGTGCTGCAGCACAGGCAGTATGAGATACATTTAGAGCTTTTTGAACATTAAAGCATGGAAACATGTCCCAAAGGCATAAAATACAAATATGAACCTGCAGATTAACATTATGGAGCCCCTTAAGTCACACAAAGGACAGGAAGTCTATTATTTGTGTCACTCGCGACCAATTCATCATCACTCTCTTTACCACCTTGTTAACAATTACGTTGAATACATACACATTGATACTTTGGGATACACTATACATGTAATAGGAATAACAGTGTTAACCAAAATCTGAAATGTAGCGGTAAGTCGAGGTTTTTTTGTTGGTTGCAATCTCCACCCAGAACACTAGATGGAACTTAATCCTACAAACTATTTTAACGTCTTATTGTTTTGATGTCCTGCCACTTTCCTCTTTTAGTCATTCTAAAATGAATGACAAAAAAATGGTTTTGCAGGCTACATTTGAGTCATTATTTTAAAATGTATTGCTAATCTTATCTACAGATGTA